AAAGTCGAATGCAAGTTTCCTTTATGTATTTACACTGAAATAATCAAGCTAGTGGTTTCGACATCGTACTGCGTCCCCCGCGACGACAAACCGATCGAAAGCAAAGAACAAACGAGGACGAGTCTTAGACCTTCGTATTTGCATTCCACGCGTTCAGATAAAGACGATCGAGAGGGGGGGTGGCCCAGCATGCACTCGGGGGAGGATAAAATATTGCCACATAAGAATTGCTGAGGACCACATAGGAATTGCTGAGAGCCACATAAGAATTGCTGAATTGCACATGCTGTTTGCTGAAGGAAACATGAGATTTGCTGAATTGAATATAGAGTATGTTACACAACTAGATCCACTTCAGCAGGCAATGCGTTATGAGAACTTCTGGACACATGTGACTACGATCAATGTGATTGGTTATTACTTCGAAGTAACAGTAAACTCGCATTTCAATGTGATTTGGCTAGTGTATACTGTACTACTCTGTTCCATATTTTAGGCAGCATTTCATATTATCTTACTTTTTTAACCTATTTTTTGTATGCAACTTTAATTATAGTACATACTTGTAGTTTGTATACCCGTAATATAAATAGTATTCTAAAATAGGTCCTAAGAGCATCTGCACCGGCACCAGTAAAATCGACCTCATTATCCGCATAATTTGTTCGGATAAGACATTTACTGGCTTTACTGGAGTGCACTTTACTGAAGTCAGAGCATCTGCACCGGTGCCGGTAACTGCCTGATTCCAGTAACTTAACCGGATGATTTACTGAACTTTGCTGAAATTCCCAAAAACGTGTTCGCACCAGCCCAGTAGCCCAATAAAAACTTACTGGACTCCACCAGACCAACAAAAAAACCAACAAATTTGTGTGTATTTTTGTTGGTCTGGTGGAGTTCAGTAAATCAATAGGCCAATCAAACACCCGGTAGAGAAGCGAACTCACTTCGCGATTGGGTTTGTTGCGGAATGAAGGAGCGCTCGAAGAACTTCACAGTGCACGAGCAGATCCAGCTTTGCCAAGCATGGCTGATTGTGTCCCTCGACCCTGTAGTAGGCAATGACCAATCTGCCAGCAACTTCTTCGGTCGTGTAGCTGAAGCATTCAACAGCAATTCAGAGTGCACTCAAAGGTATTTCAGTTATTGATTAAATATTGAGGATGTAAAACCTCCAACATGGTTGCCTTGTCGACACCTTTGCAGGACGAGTTAGTACATTCAAACTAACGGGGACCCATTGGCGATCTATCTGCAGGATGTATACCACATCCCAGAACTACACTTCAACCTCTTTTCCATTGGTCGAGCCCTACACATGGATCGACACCGAATTGTCTCCATCGATCCCAACGTGTGGACTCTAGCCACGTACGATGGCGAGTTCAAGGCAGACTATGCGCCGCACTCAGGGTTGTACGTCATACCGACGCTACCCCACCTTCATGTGCATGGCCCAGCCACGACTGTCCTTCTGACAAAGTCCAGTGCCC